AGAGAAAAGAAGAGCCTCAGAGACGTGAGGGATGCCATCAAGTGTACCAACATACGCGTAACGGGAGTCCCAGAAGGAGAGGAAGAAAGAATGAAGCAGAAAGGATGTGTGAGAAATGATGGTCCAAAGTTTTCAAAACTAGATGAAAAACATGGATGTACAAATCCACAAAGCTCAATGAACTCCAAATAGGAAAAATTCAAAGAGATCTGCACCTAGACACATCGTAAGCAAACTGTTGAAAGATAAAGACAGAGAGCATTGAAAACAGAAAGAAAAAAACAACCCATCACCTATAAGGGATTCTTAACAAGACAAAGAGCTGATTTTTCTCGGAAGCCACGGAGGCCAGAGGCAGTGGGATGATATGCACAAATTAGCTCATCTAGTCCTCACAAAAACCCCCATGAGGTCCATGCTATTGCCATCATCCCATCTTACAGACAAAGAAAATGAGGTGCAGAGAGGTTGAGTAATTTGACCAAGATCACATAGTTAATGAGCAGAGCAGCCAGGATTCACACCCAGGCATTTTGCCCCCAACAATCACCTTCTTAGTCACTACGTTGTGCTACTTTACAACAACCCAGGGAGTAGGTTCTCATCCCACAAGTGGTTTCCATTCTACGGGTAGAAACACTGAAGCTGAGCGTGGCCTTCCCCAGGCTAACCATGTAACAAGTAAAAGTTCGACACCCAAGTCTCAAATTCAGAGCCCCCTGCTCCCCAGTCCCCGCCACCCCCTCCACTGTGCACACAAACACAGCTTCTAAAAGCCATTGAGCCGCATGAACACACGGAGTCCAGTTTTTGATATGGCATGGTTTGGGTGCGGCTGGATCAGGAGCTGGTGCCATGGAGACTTCTTGAGATCCCATTCAGTCATAGAACGCAGGAGGCTCTGGGGACAAGAATCATCTAATCTGATTTTTCCACTGCCCCCCAAAGAGTCTTAGAAGGACTGCCAGGTGCAGGATCAACATTTGAGGTCAACTCCAATGCTTCCAGAGTGAGAGTAGGGGCTTCCTCAGTCGTCAGGAGAGACCATGTGTCTGAAAGCCCAAATGAATCCCCAGAAAGGCCATGCTGTGTCCTGGGGCTGGGTGAAGTGTTGCTTTTTAGGACAAGCCTGCCCCAGTGCCCCATTTCCCCTGTGGTCCATCTTCTCTTCCAGTCTCGGTGCAGAGTTTGGGGCTGTATGAAAATACATGATGCTACTGACCCCAAGAATTTCAGGGGCTCCCTTCACCACCCACATGAGCCAAGCCACAAGTAGGCTTCTCCCCATAGAAGAGCAGTGCTCTGAAGCTCTGGAGTCAGGTTGTGTGGATTTCCCCAGCCCATTTTATAAAATTCTTCAATCAGAGGGTTGAGAGGAGACACTGCAAATAGAAACCACTGTTGGGAGCTGATAGAACTTTCACAAAAAGCCTGACGACAGCGCTGGCATCATTACATGTAAGAAGTTCCTTCCCATCGCTAGAGCACTAATTCCCCAACAAATTATTTTTTAATACATTAACGTCTCCGTCAACTGGCACTTGGTACACTGCTACATTCTCAATGATAACCGAGAGGCGTCCACTAATCTTATGGGCTGTTCCAGCTATCAAAGTGAGATCCCCAGTAACTCAAGTGCAGCTTGGAGTTAAATGTGCCTTCTGTTCTAGTTCTTTAAAATTGGTGCACTAGACATGGCTCTGCAGTGCTAGTGACTCCCTTGACCAGAATATTTGGTTAGCAGCCGACTTCCTCCCCCAAGCGAGCCTGACAGCTGAGTTCAACGTATGTTTTAAGGGATGACACACTAAACATTTCTAGACCCCTAAATCTTATAGAAATAGGAACATTAAAATCACCATAAGCCATTTGCAGAGACAAAGGAGACTGGAGGAACCTAAGGGTTCCTAACGGTCGCCCCAGATTGTCGTCAGCATTGGTATTTCTGCTGACTTGATCCGAAGCACTTGCTTCCTCTGCCCAGCAAAAAGGTTTGAGCCCACCGAGGCAAAGCTGCAAGCCAGACTTCGTGCAAGTGTGATGGAGGCTACGGTAGGGCGAGGGGGACATAGGAGAGACAGAGACAGGAAGGCTCAGAATCTGTGTGGCACTGTCACTATCCCTCTCCTCTATAACTCAAGGCCCATCTCGGATGTCCTTCCTTTTTGTAAGTTTCCCTAGATGTTCAGTTTCCCAGGTAGCACTCCGCAGACACAGGGGTAGGGCCAGGGAAGGGAGGGGCTCACAGTGGAGTCTGGCCATCTGAACAGGACTCCTGCACCCTTTCTGAGTGGCACTGCAGATGCGTGGCTCGATCTTGAATGAGGCCTGGGTCTGTTGTACAGCAGACACAGGGGTAGGGCCAGGGAAGGGAGGGGCTCACAGTGGAGTCTGGCCATCTGAACAGGACTCCTGCACACTTTCTGAGTGGCACTGCAGATGCGTGGCTCGATCTTGAATGAGGCCTGGGTCTGTTGTACACCTCCCCTATGGGGGCCATCCAGGACTATGAAGGGGCTTGTGGTCTGCAGTGGGCAGCCACGTGGCCCTGGAGCAGATGTTTCTCCTAGGGGTGACAGAAGACACTGCTCTTCCTCATGTGCTAAGTCACAGAGAGGAGGTGGGGTCAGCCCATCCATCCTCAGGCCCCAAGTTCAGCCACGTCAGAGAGAACTGAGGCTTCCAGATGCCCTAAGAAGGAAACCCACCCACTGGGTTCTTTCTCCTCCATTTGAGGGCACTTAATAGGGAAGAGGGAGGGAGAACATTGTACCTGGACCACCAAATGAAAAGAAGTCTCCCCCAAATCCCCCCTGCCTCATGCAGACACATCAGCTTCCCTGTGCATCTGAGCCAAGACAGTTTTTATCCAAGCACCTGCAGCAATAGCTGTCTCTCCAGGGTGAAGCCTTGTATTCATCTGGTGGAGGTCTGACAACCCAAACACTACCTGAGCAAGAGTCACCTCAACAACCCATAAGGTCCAAAAAGCTGTGCCCCCAGCCAGCCTCTCAATGACCTTAATCTCACGGCCCTCTGCTCAGAAGGCTTTTAACTCCAGATTGCAAGTAGTCAGGAAGGCAGCTGATCATGAAATACACTTGAATTCAGTCAATTCTTTTCAGAGGGTTTTCAGTGACGACTGAAATTGGCCCTTAAAGAATGAAACAGAAATGTTCCTTTGTCCAGAAGGAAACACATAGAGACTCACGACATAGCACGACTCATTTGGAAGCAATGACTCAAGAGAATCTATAGCTAATAATCTAACAAATATAAGAGGTTTGCATTATGCTTTAAAATAGCACCGGATGCTGGGAGAGAAAAGAAAGCAGCATCAGTCCTGACATCACCACTGGCAGTCAGACACCCCAGGTAACTCTGTTCCAAAGGAAAGTGATTTAAATATAGCAGCTCACAGAGAAGGCTGTTTACCATGAGGAACATTTACTGCTGCTAAACCAGACCCCATCTCCAGGGACCGTTTCCTTTTTCAACCTCAGGACAGGCAGCAGCCCTGACTTTGGGGGAGGGGACCACAAGCTTAGGTGACAATAAGATGATTTAGGTCGGATAGAAGGAAGCTTTCATCCCAACACCAGCCAAAGACTTTGGCAGCACCTTAGGTGCACTCCCAGAAGAAAATAACCATCCACTGCTTTCTGGTCATTCAAATGTGGCCTGGAGGTAAAGAAATGAATTCACAAACTACGTGCTGTCTACATGACAGAAAGAGACGTTCTTCCATTGAGGGTTATGGATACACAGGAAAAAAGAAATCTACAAAGGGCCTCACACAAATAAAAAGCAAGCTCATTTAGTTTTTTAAAGAAATATAAAATAACCTATTTCTTTGCTTCCTAAATCAGGAGTAAAGAATATTAAACTGTACTCAATAAGCAATAAGACTTTACTTTGATTTTATAGTATGTCTAGTTCTGAGAGAGATACTGTAAGGGAAAAACAGGAGTGAAATTATATTTAAAGTCGGCATGAATTTCTTTGTTCTGACCCTCTCCCTTGCCTTCATCCAATCCAGATTTTCAGTCCTACTGTGCACAGACCCTCTGTGACTTTCACGACGATTATCAGGGAGCCAAGCAACTTTCAGGGCAGGTCTAGTCTGGGCTGCCCCTACATCCATGGGTACTGAGGATCCTGTGAAATAACATGATGGTCACATTCAGCCCTCACGTGGAGGTCACTCCCTGCACCCAAGTCCGCTCAGATGGCCACTCAGAAAAGCCCTTTACAGGGCACTTTAAGGGGCCTGGAACAGGGATTCCCAACCTGGCTGAGCATCAGAACCTCCTGAAAAGCCTTTGAAAAACACTGTTTCCCAGGTCCCACCACCAAGCCAGGCTAGACCTGGATTCTGATAAGAAACACAGCCCTAAACTTGAAGTTGATCCAGGGGTTCTTAGCCTCAGCACTATTGACATTTTGGGCTGGATCATTCTATGCTATGGGAGGCCGTCCTGTGTGTTGCAGGACGTTTAGCAGCATCCCTGGCTTCTACCCATTCCTGGCTGCCAGGAACACCCCTCTCGCCACCAAAATGTCTCCAGGCGTTGCCCAACAGCCCCTGGCGGATAGAATCATCCTGGCTGAGAACCGCTGTTTGGTCCTCTGTTGATCATGTACCCTGCACCCCTGACACATGACCTGAGCCTGGGCCTCAGTTGCCCCATCTACCTAATGGAGCTCATCCAGCCTGGTAGCTCCCTGAAGACCTCCCAGCCTCTTAGGCAACCCCGTTATCCTACTGAAATGTTGTTCTAAGGGTCAGAGGAAGATGTTTCAGCCCAGATTCAGGATCTGGGGAGAAGAGAGCCAGCCAGAACCCCCCTCGTGCCCAGAGGGATGGCTCCTGCACCCTCTTGGCTGAACCTCTGTGCCAGCCGTAGGCCCTTCCTCTCAACTCACAGGCTGTCTCCCTCCTTTGCAGAGAAGAACTGCTCCTACTTCAGGCATTTTAACCCAGGCGAGAGTTCGGAGATCTTCGAATTCACCACGCAGAAGGGTGAGCCTGCCGTGGAAAGGGGGGCGGGTGTGAGAAGGGACTTCGGTCACACGCCACTGAGCCAGAAAGTTATTTCGCAGAAAAGCACTGACTTCCCTGCTCCTGATGAAAAGCAGCCCCCTCCTGGTGCATTTGCGATGAAAAGCAGCCCCGTCCTGGTGCATTTGAACAGCAGCCTTGTCACCTCCCCTCTCCAGAGGGCCCCTGAGACAGCAGCCTCCATCTCCTGGCGCCCAGGGCTGGGGCGAGTGTGTAAAAGAGACATTTCCTGGTAGCCTCCGCAGTTGCTGTAAGAACACGTTTTCCAACAGAGCCCGAGGGAATGATGAAAAGCAGCCCCCTCCTGGTGCATTTGAACAGCAGCCTTGTCACCTCCCCTCTCCAGAGGGCCCTGAGACAGCAGCCTCCATCTCCTGGCGCCCAGGGCTGGGGCGAGTGTGTAAAAGAAACATTTCCTGGTAGCCTCCGCAGTTGCTGTAAGAACACGTTTTCCAACAGAGCCCGAGGGAAGCTGTTGTGACAAGAGCTATGAACATGGAACAAGCGTTCTGGATCCCCTGATGGTTCTCAGGGTGGCTGGGCCAGAGTCTGCAGGGAACAGTTTTGTCCCTCCCTCTCCTGTAGGTCGCTCCCCGAGAACCAGAAGCACACACTGTGCTCTGGGGAGCCTCTCGGGATCCCTGGCGCTCAGAGACACACCCGCTGTCAGGTCTACAGACCCGAGCCTGCGTGTGCTCGAATGGCAGCCCACCATGTGCGTGTGCACACACACAGACACACCCACTCAACACACACCCTGACAGATCCTCATGCGTGGGACACACGCACTAACACACACTGGCAGATCCTCACACATGCTGTTCCAGGTACCAAGCCACACCCTGTCATCCTTCCAGGGGCTCCTTGTCAACCCCAGGACAGACCACCCACAGCCCAAGGGCTTCCTTGTGCCCTGTCATTTGGAGGAAGGTTTCTGCTCTAGAAAGGTGTCTGACCACAGGCCTCCCTGCCACCTTGGCAGCCTCTGCCTGTGGTGGGAGGAGCTTGCAGTTTGGGGCATTTGAAAGACATGGGGGTGCATAAGTCACACTGCCTGCCTGGCCCACCCCTTACCCGTGTGAGACTTGGAGCGATTCAGTCTCTCGGTGGTTGTTGGTTTTCCTGCATGGGAAATTGTAGCATGTGGTTCTGTCGCTGACCTGGTGAAAGGTACGACCGGCCAGACCAGAGCTCCTGGGCTGAGGCTGGGGGGTGTCCCTGCCCTGTGTTTTGCAGAGTTCAGCATCTCAGCAGCTGCCATTGCCATCTTCAGCCTCGGCTTCGTCATCTTGGGCACTGTCTGTGTCCTCCTGTCCTTCAGGAAGAAGAGGGATTACCTGCTGAGGCCCGCCTCCATGTTCTACGCCTTTGCAGGTAGAAGGGGGCCCTCGCCCATGGCTGGGGACGAGGTCTCGGGGGGCTTCTCCCTCCATTCCCAGGTAGGAGCATTTCCCAGGCTCCAGCCAGCAGCGAAGCCAGTCAGGGCCTCAGTGGTTCCAGGTGGGAGGGAGGGAGAGCGAACTTGGCAGTTTGCCTGTTTCTCACGACTGGACCCTCAAGGCACTGAAGAAACGTCCCAGAGAGCAATTAACAAAAGAAGGAAAGGGACAGGTCGGCCCTCCGAGGGATGCAGGAGTGGTGCAGAGGGGGGCAGAGGGATCGCTTTTGCAGCTTCCCAGCTAGAACCTGTCTTAAGACACTTTTTCCCCCAAGTTTTTCTCCACCAAGTGGAAAAGGCCAGTAGATGCGGGTGGGGGCGGGGCCGGGGCAGCGCAGGGGCCCCCGGGTCCCTGAGAGCGCTGGCTCTGTCCCCAGGTCTCTGCATCTTCGTCTCGGTGGAGGTCATGCGGCAGTCGGTGAAGCGCATGATTGACAGCGAGGACACCGTCTGGATCCACTACTATTACTCCTGGTCCTTCGCCTGCGCCTGCGCCGCCTTCATCCTCCTCTTCCTCGGCGGCCTGGCCCTCCTGCTCTTCTCCCTGCCTCGAATGCCCCAGAACCCCTGGGAGTCCTGCATGGACGCCGAGCCCGAGCACTAGCCTTCCTGCAGCCCCGGCCGCCCTCGGGGCTTTCCCCCCAGGAAGCCAAGCCATGGCCCAGAAGCTTCTAGAGAGGAGGCGAGAGATTGTTCCCATCTGCCCCACCCCACGATGGTCGCAGGCTGCATCCCCGTCTCTGAGCTTGTCTCTGGGCTGTGACGAGCTCCTCTGCAAATAGAGCAGTGGACGTGAGTCCAGACCTGACCACGATTCGGGCTGGGGGAGGTGGCAGGTGACCAGGTGCTTGGAGAGGCCCAGCCTTGCACTGAAGCTCTCAGTTGTCCCCACTGTGCCAGTTGCCTTTGATAAGCTGGCTCCAGTTGTCCTTTATAGAATGTACAGGGACACCTATGCTTATTTACCAGTTCTGGGTGTCATCCTGTATAAACAGCCAGTCCCTCTCTCCTTCTCAGTGACAGGACATGTCCCCTCCAGTGAGCTGAACATCCCCTCCTTGGCTTCCAGGAGCCCTGAGAAGCTTCTCTAACTGGGTAGAATCTGACTGTGGTTTGAAATAAAATCTCTCAGAAAACTTGCTTTGTCCTTGTGCCTTGCCTAGAAATTACCTGGATTCCTGGCCACAGCCCAGGGACCCCCTGACCCTGAAGAACAAGGGACAGCATGTCCTGGGTAAGTTGAGGACTGCTGTGGGGATGAGTGGGGAACCAGTGTGGCTTAAAGGTTCTGAATTCCATCTTGTCTCTCTGGGCCATGGGATTGTGTTGGGGAGAAACTAGAAACCCTCTGATTAGGCAAGGGTGTTAAAAATAGGAGGGGCTATTTCTAGAGCTCGGCATGCTGAGCATCCGGGGCCAACGCAGCGCGAAAGCAGCACAGCCACAGGTGTCTGATTTCTGCTGCTGGATTTTTGTTGCAAAGACCATCAGGAAGCGGGGCTTAGCAGTCGGACACTGAGGGCCCCTTGGAGTGCCATGATTTGCCCTCTTCTGCCTTCTGAAACCCCGCGGTGCTTACCCAGCCTTTAGAAACGGTAGTCAGCCATGGTTGGCAGATAGGATTCTGTGCGCCCCTTGAGCTCCAGAGGTTCTGCTTAGAGCCCATTCTTCTGGAGTGAAACCCCGCGGTGCTTACCCAGCCTTTAGAAACGGTAGTCAGCCATGGTTGGAAGATAGGATTCTGTGCGCCCCTTGAGCTCCAGAGGTTCTGCTTAGAGCCCATTCTTCTGGAGCAAAGGTCTGCAAACTACAGCCCATGGGCCAAACCTGGCCCTCCAGCTCTTGTTGTAAGGCCTGCAAGTTAAAGAGTGATTTTTAGTTTTAAATTGTCTTTAAAGAATCAAAAGTAGAGTAATATTCCATGGCACATGAAAACTGTATGAAATTCAAATTTCAGCGTCCATAAATAAAGTTTTATTGGAACACAGTCCCTTCCATTCTGTGGCTGCTTTTGACTCGACAGCGGCAGTGAGCAGTTGGGACAGAGATCTTCTGGCCTGCAAAGCTAAAAATATTCACTGTCTGACCCTTCATGGAAACTGCTCGTTGATCTCTGCTCGGCAGTGAAACTGTGCACTCCCCAGGCAGCCGTGAGCCCTGGATGTTCCCATCTGTAAAGCG